TTGAGATCATCTAACCTTAAGGGGGGTTTACTACGGGCCAATAAGTTTCGCGAGACAACAAGCAAACACTCCAAAATTTGTGGTAATGAGACGCGACCAGGTTCGCAAATACAGCATGCTTCTTTATTTTTGTAACCCATGGTCTATGTCCTGCTGCCTATTTATCAACAAAGTTAAAATCCGAAAGAAAATTTTCAGAAAGTCACCTGATAAGTGGTGCAGCAGGAGATCGTTTACCGAAGCGAATTAACGGTTGGGCGTCCGGATTTCTGCCAAATCTGGAAAAACCTTGTTGCTAAAGTTATATGCAGTTTTCATACAAGTTTTATTCTCTCGATTAGTTAAAACAGCCGTTTTTGCTTACGACTTACAAATGTTTAACCAGTACTAAGCTAGGTTTCAATTACCGAATTAGAGGAGCACCATCCGGAGTTCGCTTACCAAAGCGAATTAATGGCTGAGCATCGGGTGCACGGCCGAATCTGAAATTGAGCTTCAGACCTCCGATCTACAAACAAATCCTTGAGTAATGATTTACCTAATCAAAGGTGCTCCTGGATCTCGTTTGCCGAAGCGAATTAATGGACCCGCGTTGTCCTAAAAGAGCAAAGCTTCAAGTAAATTCAGTACCTTGGTTGTGTAAATTGTTAATATAAATCATGCGCACTATAACCTGCCCCTCCATGCACTCTTGCAATTTTGGCAAGTGATCTAAAGGCTCTGCAATGCTGACAACATTCAAAAGTAAAAAATAGTAATAGAGCGCACACTTCCAAGATTTTCAAAACTTACGAAAAATTTCGATGAGAAAATTTCCATAATTATGTGCAAAGTAAGGGCCAAGCTAACTTACATCGTACGAGCGCTCTCCTCGTGGAAGATGCAATAGATCCGATCGTTTCTCAACAGGATCTGCAAATATTACGGAAAGTTGAATCAAAAATTTAGTTAAACAAAAACTATTTTACACGGTATAAGTGATATGAACATGCGATATGACAACGAGTTTTGGAAAAACAAAAATATGTCTTACCAAAGCCAAAGAACCACATCCCACGTCCACGTTTTCCATTCAAAACTGAAAGACAAAACCAAATGAGACAAACTTAGCGGACAAAACGACTGATCATGCAAATCTAGAAACTTACTCTTCAAACAAGGGACTAGTCAGAACATATAGAAAAAAGTACACACTTTTATTACATACATAATTGACATTGCTCAGCTGGGAAGTCAATCACCTTCATCAAACGTTTAATGTCATCAAACCCCTCATTCAACTCGTACGTTTGACTCATTCATTGCAATCGTAGTCAAGCTGGTACCAGCTTACCAAGATTTCCACTGAAGGGCACAGTAAAAGGTCTTTAGGTCGCATACAGTGGTATGTAACATACTGGCAATTGAGGACAGAAAGGTTTAGAAGCTGCGCTCACTCTTGTTTGTAAAACGAAAATAAATAACAAGAATGGGGAGACGGTCAAGAGGCGCGACTTCCTCTGAGGACACCAATATAACAGCTTAATTTAGAGCTCAGAAAATCTTCATCATTATCGCACAAAGTGCTCGAGCTTAATAGCAGGGAAAGGATCGGTCGAGACGGCCTTTTCAATTGATATGCATATATTCTCAAAGGACATCGAACGCTGATCTCAAATCTGTTTTCCTTATTTGCAGAAAGCTTTCTAGTGAGGATTTTGACTGTATTTATGAGCTAAAAAAATTGCAGGACTACTCAAACAAAACTAGGGTTAACAGCCTTTACAACTCACAGATGGACTAATGGCGAGTACTGCTAAAGCAAGCAAGAAGATCTACTTTTGTGACGTAGTTAACAGTTAGCACTACTCCATCTAGGACAAGAGAGAGTTCTATGAATGATTTTCGACGTCTATCCATGCATCCATCAACTTTTCGCCTCTCATAACTCCTTGTCCAGAAATGCTAGGATAAGGAAGGCAGATTTAAAATTAGAATGATATAATCTTCAAGAACATCAGACCACGTCGACTAAAATCCCTTAGGTATCTGAAGCTACCACTTGCTAAGTTTGATGGCATTTGGTGAAAATGTAGTGGATATTCAAAGAACACCATTGGTTGCATTTTCACGGGTCTGATCCACACACTTATGTTTCGAATCCATCTTAGGATAAAAAGATCGAGCGGGCGTGGAATCATATACATCTTGCTAGAGATTTGAGTTGCTCCTGAACCATCATAAAACTGATGAGCCAATAATCCTGTAGGTGTTAGACTTGCATCCGCGCTTCGGACACGCTGCGGTTTCCGCACCCTGATGTTTCTTTGAAT